ACCACTTTGGGTCCAGTAGGCATGTGTACACTGAGAGGGCGGAGGACCGAGCGTGTGGTGGGGGTGTGGAGACACAGACATATGGACGTTGGTCCTATGGGACGGGAAAGTCTCCATGCTGTTGGTGACAAGAGTCACGAACGCACTGAGCCTCGCCAAGTGCTTTCTCTCCCTCCCATGCGTGGTGTGTGCGTGGTGATGCTCACAGCAGCTGTTTCCTACTAGCACAAGGCCTGGAAGGAGCCCAGCTGGCCTTCAGTAGCGGACCCGTTACATGAATTATCGTTCATCCACCACTGGATGAACAGATCGCAGGTTTGCCAAAGAATGAGGGTGTCTGTGTGAGCTGATGTAGAAAATTCTCCGAGGCATAGATTTCAAGAAAACACCTAAAGTGCAAAACATGTGTACAGTATCTGCTTTTAGTAAGAAAAGAATATGCTTGGTTTTTTTTCCAAACCTGCTTGTTTTAAAATTTATGATAGAACATGACATAAAATAGTTGTTTCCACTTTAACCATTTTTAAAATTTCTTGTTTCTTTTTGTTCTCTTTTAAATAAATTTTTTTTTTTTTTTTTTTTTTTTTTTTTTTTTTTTTTTGAGACAGGGTTTCACCATGTGCTTCAGGCTGGTCTTGAACTCAGTGATCTTCTAGCCTCAACCTCCCAAAGTGCTAGACCTGTCGGGCGTGGTGGCACACGCCTGTCATCCCAGCACTTGGGAGGCTGAGGCAGGAGGATCTCTGTGAGTTTGAGACCAGCCTGGGCTACATAGTGAGTTCCAGGTCAGTCTCAACTACATACTGAGACCCTGTCCCAAAAAACAAACAAACAAACAAAAACCAAAGTGCTAGGCCTACCCACTATGTGTGTCTTCATTTAAGAATTTTTAAAATTTAACTTAATTTTGGGGGGGGGCACTGGGGATTGAACTTGGAGCCTTGCACTTGTGAGGCAGGTGGTGGTACCACTGAGCCAAATCCTTGGCTCAATTTAACTTAATTTTATTTTTTGAGACAGGGTCTCCCTGTGTAGCCCAGGCAGGCCTCAAACTCATATAACCCTACTGACTCAGCCTCCCAGGTGCTGGGATGACAGGCGTGCACCACCATGCCCTGTGGGGCTGGATTCATTTTGCAGGTCAAGTAAAAAGCATATCCTGATAGATTAACTTCAAGTTTAAGCAACAAAAAGAGGCTGGGGCTGTAGCTCTGAGGTAGAACATGTGCTTAGTGTGAGAGGGAAAGAGGGGCAGGGTCTTAGCTGTGAGGTGCATGGCTGGGAACTGGAGGTGGGAGCTGCGGGTGGGAACCAGAGACGGGAACTGCAGGTGTGAACTGCAGGTGTGGGCTGCAGGTGTGGGCTGCAGGTGGGAGCAGAGGTGGGAACTGGAGGAGGGACCACAGGTGTGGACTGCAGGTGTGGACTGCAGGTGGGGGCAGAGGTGGGAACTGGAGGAGGGACCACAGGTGTGGACTGCATGTGTGGACTGCAGGTGGGGGCTGGAGGTGAGAACTGCAGGCAATCCCTGCCTCAGAGCCAGGAGGAGCCCGTGCCTTTGCTGAGCTGGGACTGTGGCAGTGGTGGTGCCGAACCCTGGAGCCCAGACCTCTCTGCCCATCTGTGGGCCGCAGCTGAGGAGCAGCTCTCTCCCCCCTGCCCCACGGCTTGTTTTCAGTCACCAGGAGGAATCTCCCCATGCAGCGGGATTTGACTCATGGTGATTTAAGCAACAGAGGAATTCATGGGGCGGCCAGCCTTGGGAAACTGATGGGAAACAGACGGAATGCGAGATAGTGGGAAAGCCTTGCTTGAATCACCCGCCCACCAATCCCACTTTCAACTAGTTTTGTTTTTAGGGTTTTTTTTTGTTTTTGAGACAGAGTCTCCGTACATAGCTCAGGCTGGCCTTGCACTCCTTGCGATCCTCCTGCCTCAGCCTCCCTTGTGCTGGGATCGCAGGTGTGCGCCACCGCGCCTGCTAATCGTGGCCATTGTGACGCTATTTGCCATGAAGTCCTGGTGTGACCAGAGACTGACCCTGCGATCCACTCCCAAGTTTATAGCAGCACAACTCGTGTTAGCAACACCTGGGAAGTGGCCCATGCGCCTTCTCCATGGATGAATGGGTAAAGACAATGTATTTCCACACAATGGAGTACTACTCTGCCGTGAAGAAGGATAAACTTCATTTGAAGGAAGATGGGATGCACCTCGAGACCATAATGTTCAGTGAAATAAGCCGGACATGCATGTTTCCGTGTGGTATGGTTTCTCTTGTATGAGAAATACAAAGCAGAAATAAAGTAAAGAGCAAAGTAAAAGATAGATAACCGGGACTGAGAAGGTAAGATCTTTTGCAACTGGGAAGGCGATTGAGAGCCAGAGTGGAGGCGTGAGGGAAGAGAAGGGGGAATAAAAAGAATTAAGACGCCGTATGTCCACGCACGAATTCCCTGTGAGTAACGTGATCATTATATACTACAAACAAACATTTTAAAAAATCATCAGAAAATGATGCCATGCATTGGACCTTTAGAACTCTAAGCTAGACAAACCTCTTTTCTTTCTTTCTTTTTTTTTTTTTTTTTT